GGTCTGCAGACGGAACCAATCAAGATCTATAGTAATAGCCGATTGGAGGAAAGCATTGGCTTCACAGTCCACCTTCAATATGATAAGAACAACTTACAACCCTACCGCAGCTTACAAACAACATCCAGGGGAGCATGCAATGAGCGGATGAGTCTTTCTTAGCTCTCATATAGTTCAGATGTTGCTCCTCCAGAGGGCTGGTTGTTCTTCGAACTAACTCGTTACATGAACCTTGAAGCTTCAAATCCATGTTAAAGTCCAACTGACGTAACCAGTGTGCATGGTAAGCGATGACATCCATAAGGTTCCGGGCGCTGGAAACCGCGTACAAGCAATAGATGAAAACAATCTTATGACTTTTTCCTCGACAAGCTTCACTTCAGAAAATGTGATGATATTGTCTTGAAAACCTATTAGTCCGCTGGTCAAGCTAGCGTAGAGCCATGATTGTGAAGTAAACTTCGTTGCTGCTTTTCAAATTCTTTTACTAACATATTCAGCAGCAAAATCGTTCCATTTCATGTTGATTAGAACCCTATTTGGCGAAATTTGGCACGGTTTGAAAATCGATTGGAAGATTAAACTATGCAGAATAGCCTGGAAACTGTTGCAGTGTTTACCGAGAATAGGATAATAACTGAAAAACACCAGAACATATCTAAAGGTTTCGCAAGAAACCATCTTTTGGGACATATATCTATATTGGGATCGGGGCACTTCATAAATGCGACCCTTCCGCTCTGCCTCCATAGGATCCCCATCAATGATGTGTCTAATTCCTAGTATTCTTTTGGGTTTTTTTTCAATTTTCTGCCGGAAGTAGGAAGTACGTAGAGAAGTGTTTCAGAATGGCATCAACAACTACGAATCCGTCAACATTATTGCCACTCGAACTCGTAGACAAGTGTATTGGCTCACGGATCTGGGTTATTATGAAAGGTAATAGTTGCCGAAGTTTTCATTTTTATGACAATTACTCTTCTGGCACCATTGCGTATTTCGAGTAGTCGTCCTCCCTTTACTGGATTTTGATTTTGGAGTTAATTGTCTTGTCAAGGAGTCTTTCAATGCCCCTGATATTCTTCAGATCACCTTCAAGCCTCTTGCAGTCTTGTTCGCTGCGGATGAAAGGGCAAGTCAGGCGGGATGAGTCTGACGGGTCAATCCACCAGATGTTGAGCGAGCAAGGACAAGACTGTATCATATCGTTCGCAGCAATCGTTTTCTACCAATTTTTATCGCTTACCCGCTTCAACGACTGCTAGAGAACTGGTTTACCCCCACGCCAAACCCATCGCACCGGACACGCCCCTTCATCCGCAGCGAACCAGACTATACTTCATAGAATGAAGGAAGCCTCCGTCATTATCACTGAACTAAATAGCTCACATAGTGAGATTCCCCTAGATTCATTCAGAATTATGCTGTTGTTTATGTTCTTTTGGTTTCCTCCTTCTAATGGAAAAATTCTCGAAACAGGGCCGATGCAGACTGGCTTTCAAAATTGGTTGTGTGTTCGAACCATTCCTGTTTGGATTTTGCCACGCACGTGCTGCGAAAGGAGGGCGTGCGGAGCATCAAAAGGGGCGAAGTGGCTGTAAGCTAAACCACTGGCTAGGCTTTCCGAAAGGTGGAAGGGATTGTAGGTGAGTCCAATTGTCGAGTGGCTCATTATTCAAATGCAGACGGTCAATATGGTTCTAGAACGCTGTGTAGAGATACAGAGGAGAGAAGATCAGCATACTTGATAACTACGGAGCCTCCCTTCTTTCTCTTCCTTCTTCCCT